AAGTGGGATTTTGTGAAACATATGAGGTGTGTGTGGTGGGGGTGGGGGTGGGGGGGGGAGGGGCAGTTTCAGACAAACTTAATAGTATTTTTTTAGATTTTGTATTTACATTACAAATTTAGTAAATATTTAATTATATTGTGAACTCTACTAACCAAACGAGCTATGAATTCAATATAAGTTTCACTTAAATTATCCCTTGTTTACATAACAATAAATTATTTAGTAAGGTAATTTTATTAAATTATCCTAATATTAATACTTTAAAATTTTAAGTTTGACTACTAGTACTTTATATAGTATTAATGATAAGGATAATATTGAAAGAAAAATATAAACTATTTGTGATAACAAGTAAAAAAATGTATTTTAATATAAGGGATAAGGAACAAAAGAAAAAGGTGGAGGATGTATGACTAGCTAGTTCTCTTTCTCTCTTGACTAACTTTCCCATCTGGCATTCGGTAGCCGCATCCTAGTGGCTACGTACCGAAGGGGACATCGTTTTCTATCGAGAATTTTCTTAAAGACGGATCAGATCTAAGATCTTTACTGAAAAATGACAATATCTAATGATTTATATATAAAAGTTTGATATGTTGTAGTCTTAAATTTTACTTGGATAAGTTGAGATTAGATTAATTTAATTTAATTGAATGAAATTAAAGACACAAATTAATATTTTACCTGGGGAAAGGGCTGTTTTTCACTGCCTTTTGTCCATATTTTCTCCATCGATAACCATCTTCAAGATTATCAATCTCACTCTTTGTCATGAAGGCAAATCTTGGTTCTTTTACCTTTTTTTCACCTTTCTTTTTTTCTTTGCACCTGAAATAATATAATCATCAACAACATCGAACTTATATACATGCACAATTTTTCTATCTTCACAAGACATGAATCCAAGGTTTCGTACACTCCACTGTCTCTAGATCCTACTAATGAGGTTACACTATAAGAAAACTATGAATTACATGGGGATTTTCCTGGGGATTAGTATGAAAATCCGCAGGAAACTTATTTTCCTGCAAATTTTCATACTAATCCCTAGGAAAATTCTCATATAATTCACACTTTTCTGGTAATGTTACATTGAGTATGTTATCGTCGTAAGAAAAAAGAATTAGGGTTTCTAAAACTATAAAACAAATAAAAGGAGGATATGGTCAAAATATTAATTTCTAAATATGTGAAAGAATCTTGGATAATAATAAAAAGTCTAGTCAATGAATAATCAACCTACAAACTATGATTATCATATATTATTAATCCAATTATATATAATATATATAACCTAATCTTTGAATAATAAAGAATCATTTCTGAGAAAAAACCCTTGTTATGACCAGAGACAGATTTAAGATTTAAATTTTATAAAATTTAGATCAAAATCCAACCACAATCCTTTGATCTATCGAGATCAAAGTCTATTTTTAATATTAATTTAGTGGATCTTTCAACACATATACAAAGTCTGAACTATTTTGATCCACCTCTACTAATGATTATGTGTGAGCAAATGAATTAAAAATGACTTACTCTTTCTTAGACTTGTCTTCTCCTTCTTCTTGTCTCCCTTTTTCTTGAACATGTTTCTTGATTTTGGAAGAATCTTCTTGCCCTCCAGCCTCATTAGAAGTATAAGATATCGAAGAATTTGGCGTTGGTGAAATTTCAATGCTTGTTTTATCTCCCAGAGGCGAATCTAAAACGGGTTCTGTAGTAGCAGAGATGCTACCTTTTCTAGTAGAGTCTTGATTATCGATATGTGGACGAACAACTTCAGAGGATGATGAACAAGACATGCCAAAAGCATTTGATAGAGTGTTGTAGTCCATAGAGCCATGTAAACACTCAGTAAGAGTCATATAAGAAGAAGGAACAAATTGTTGATGCTCATGATGATTTGGATTTTGAATATTTGGAATTATTGGTTGGTCAATATAATTTGAAGGATTTTCACCAAAAAAAGGAAATGTATTATTGATCCCTCCACCAATTCCCATGTAATCATGATAAAAAGTGTTATCAGACATATTGGAGAAAAATATTATTTCAAATTCTTAAATTACACTAACACTATAGTTTTGTGCAATAAGAAAAAGAAATGATAATCTTGAGAGATGAGAAATGTTTTGGAGAGAGAAAAAAAGAGAGAGTATGTAGCTTGATAGGTAATAGCAAATGGATGGTCCTTGTTGAAGAAAAAATGAATTAGAGGGTACTCATCATAAGTTTTTATGTGTATCTATTTGGCCAAATTTTCAAAATTTACTTATTTTGAAAAGCATTTTTTGTCAGAAGTATATTTTAAATTTTTTTTAAAAAAAGTGGAAATTTATATATTGTGTTTGACTATTGAATATGTGTTTCGGTAATTTATGTTTGGTCAAGATTTCAATAGTGAGAAAAAAAAACTTTTTTAATTTCTGAAAAGTAATTTCTGTAGCTACTTAAAAATACTTAGCGGAACACCTAATTATATTATCTAAAATAAGCACTTTTAAATTTCTTCTAAAAAGTACTTTCGATTAGTCAAAAATTTGACCAACCTAGCTATAAAAATGATTTTGGTTTAGCTACATATATCATCTTCCATATAATATGGTTAAAATTAAACACTTCAAAAATTATCATTTATTTTTAGTGTAATAACAAATCATAGAAGTCATGTGAAAAGATTTTAAATGATATTGTAAGTAAATTTTCAAATAACAACAATTTTTAAATTGAATAATGTTCCTTTCATTAGGTAGAGTTGAATATATAGGATTTTGATGCCTTTGTCATTACCTAGCAAGTTGGTATATAATAATGCTAGATATTTTTTCCAAGTGTGTAAATGTATTTTTTTTATGTGAGTTTAATGAGAATTACACTTCTCGTGGACAATAAAATGGAATAGAACTAATTAAAGTTAAATTTTTTGTGAATAGTCAAATAGCTTATTTGGCCAAAAACTTTTGAAAGTCAAAGTATATATATATATATTTTATTTTATTATTTTTTTTTTTAATCATTAAGATTGTGAATATAAATTATTTTCCCCCTTAGTTCTTCTCTTGATTTCTTTGTGATTTATTAATGGTGTCGTATTTTTCGAATTAAGATGATGTGGGCCTCCTTAAGATTTATTTGATCTGTATGAAATGATTTTGTAAATCTTCTTGAAGTATTTGATTGTTAAGAAGAGTTCGACCACATCTGATCTTCTTGAACTATTTGATTGACATACCAGAAGAGTTGGGTTATACCTTCATCTTTTTGTGAATATTCGGTGAATATGAAATTTTCAAAATGACTTTTCAAGGGAATTTATTACCTTTTATATACAGGTATGAACTAACTGAAACTAAACTCATCTCCTACTTCAAAGCCTAATGGAGTATAGATTTGATAAAACTCAAAGACGAAATTCAAAGTATATCCATAAAAATATTGAAGCTTTCTCTTTGCGATTATATAGACTCAATTTTATAAATCTAATTTGTGAGAGAAGAAGTGAAGGACATATTTGATCTCACTATTATGTGAAAGAAAATTTCAATGTCCACCATAAGATTTAATAAAAAAATTAGAAGGTTGTTTTGTTTTCTACTTTAATCCAACTATACTACTATATAGTATTCAAAAACGCACATTTTTACTCTATTTTAATTGCATCTTATTGTAATTCCCAACTATTATTTTAAGTTTGTGTGCAACCCATTATTAGTTTATATCCGTTTAATCACATTTAATTTGTCTTGTTGTAGTATTACTCAACACATGCAAATTTTTAAGTATAAATTCTTCCTTAATTAAAGGAATTATCTCATAATCTTTAATTTGTTGAATCGTCATGTTCATACACACTTAAATAATCATCTATGAGATTAGGAAAATTTGCGACGTTAATCACGGCAATTAAGTAATTAATGATTTAAAAGTTTGCCACAATTTTTATATCTAAATATTCCACAATCTTGAATTTCCACCCTCGAGGATGTATTTACACTACTAAAAATAAGAATTAGTGACAAACAAGTTTCGTAGCTAAACAATAATATCCATCGTTAATTCTATTTAGAGACAAATTAGTGATGATTATCACAAAAATTTGTTAGCAACAAATAAATTAGCGATGAAGTTCATAGCTAATTACTAAGAAACATATTCAACCTACAAATTCAAAGCATGATTTCCTCTATATAACTAAATTCGAATATGGAACACATGAGAATATCTTTCCGTCAAATTAAGAGTCACTTACAGGTTTTGTATAACTCTTTTTCCCTTACAACTCTTGTAGATTGTGTTGTGACTCGTTTTATAGTCCATTCTATCCTAACATGAATCATGAGCCTTTTTTCTCATATTAAATAGAATAATGGCATCGATATGGATCATGAGCCCTTTTTTCAAACGGAAATGAAATAAATAAGCCAAACTTTTAACGGAGGATATAGCTAAGCCTTTTTACAAAGTCTAATGACATATTTGAATTCCCCTCTCAATTTTCTCTCTCTCTTTTAACAACAAAATGAAAAAATAAAACAAATAAAAAACTCGAACCGATATTTCTGAAAAATATAAAAGAGTGCAACGGTACGAACAATTAAAAATGCCGCCATTGTTCCAATAGACACATTGTTTCTTCATTTCACTACAAATACAAAAATTAAATAATTTTTTTTCATTCTTTATTCCTCAACAATTCACTCCACGAAATACAAAGGTTAATAATTTCTCCCTCCAAAAAATTTACGATTTTCCATAAAACAATAGCCAGTACTCAAATTTTAAATACGATACTGGAATCGTAATTATAATAAAAAAAAACTCTGTTAATTTGTAATAATGCAATTAGTATTGTGAATTGTGATCATTTTACTGTCGATATTGTGATGAGTAACAACTTGCATTGTAGTAATTTACAATTTTTACATGATTATTCAAACTTGCATTGTAATAATTGAAAATTTATCGAATGCTATTTTCAGGTTAAAAATTATAGTATGGCGGATCAGAAGATGGAGATTGATGTGGATGAGAAAAGAGAGATTGATCTGAACAAGGAGTTTGATCCAATTGAGAAAATTGTTTCATTGGAGCGCGAAAATGATTTGCTGTTGAGGAAAGTTGAAAATTTAGAAGCGACTCAAAAAGTTGAAATAGAGGTCAAGGAAACGGAAATTAGGGCCCTAAAGCAGAAACTTGAGGAGCAAGAGAAAAGGTGGAAAAACAGGCAGGATTTTTTTGCATGGCGAAGTATGAGTTGGCGAAAAGGTAGAGTTAAAGAGTTGCTTGATAAAATCTCGGAATTGGAGAACAAGTTGAAGAGTATGGAGGACGCGATTTCCCAGAAGGTTGTTGATGAGAACGAACAAGTTGGTGGATCTTCTCGTGTAAAACTAGAGGATTGATGTGCTCTCGTATTTTTAATTATGTTATTATTATTACTCCGATAGGAGTAGCATTTTATTAAACTAAATCATTGAATATGTTATTATGATTACTCCGATAGGAGTAGCATTTTATTGAACTAAATCATTGAATAGATATGTAATTGCGTTTTTATTGAACTTAAATCATTATTGATTTGTGTTTGTGCAATGTGCGTGATGTTGCTTTTGTTGTATATATGAAAGTTGAAGTCATATATTGTGTTACTTACCAAATTTAGCCTATGATCTGAAGTTTTCTCATAAAAATTTTAGTTTGTTTAAAGGAATCTTTAGACAGTTTTCTAAAAGGTGTATACGTTTGAAAGAAATAATAAAGGATCATTTGCTAAATAACTATTCCAGAATGGAAAAAGGGCAAAAATTTATGGACCAACTATATGTATAGACAGATTTCTACTTCTCCATATGTGTGTCTATTACTTTCTTTATCCGAATTTATGTGATACTTTTCGAAGTTTGAGAGTTAAATTTTTTTAATTTTAACCATGCGAATTTGGACATATAATCTTTAAAGTTAAGAGCAACTGAGGTTCAATAGATGGAAAAATGACAAATTTAAGTTATTTCTAACACATAATATGCATTTTGACTATTGTTTTCGTTTATCAAATACTGAGAGAAAAAACATTTCATAATCTCCAAACGGAAATAGCATAGACGAGCCTTTTGTCATGGCACATATGAGTCATTTTTCAAACAAAAATGGCATAGATGAGCCAAACTTTTAACGAATGACATAGATATGAGCCTTTTGTCAAAGTTCGATGGCATCTTTGAGCCTTTTCCCTATAAAAAAATATATCGTATAAAATAGTTAAATAAATCTCATAATCTCCAATATAAGTTCTTTTTAAGTCTTTACAACTAAAAACGTTTCTCCCGTACTTTAAATGAAGGGCAAAACTATATAATCATATTTTGAATAGTTCAAAAACAAATTTGGATAATTTCTTTTATTTTGGAGCAACCGTTAGTAAAAAAAATATTTTTAAAGGCATATTTGAGCAAAAAAACATAACGAGTGATCAAACTAAGTCATTTTAAATAATTCCACGATATATTTGAATTTTGAATAATGTACCCTTTTGTGACAGTTGAAAAGCCGCCATGTTTCTCCAACAGACACATCGATTATATTCTTCAATTGAAATTTTACATTTCATCACTATATATATAAGTACCAAAAATAATTATTTTCTTACTTCTTTTTCATTTTAAATTTTAAACTATGGCGGATGAAATTAATAATTTGAACCAGAAGGTAGCCTCATTGGAGCGCGAAATACATTTGTTATTGAGGAAAATTGAGAAGTTGGAAGTAAGTGGAAATCACCAAAGAGTACTATTAGAACTCAAGGAAAATGAAATTCGGGGCCTAAAGCAGAAACTTGAGGATCTAAACGACGATTGGAAAAAGGAGAAAGATGTAATTGATGCGGTGAAGGATGAGTTGATAGAGAGGGTTAGAGAAATGCTCATAAAAGTCGATGAATTGGAGAAAAAATTGGAGATTCAAGAAAACGTGATTTCTAATAGTCAATATTTTGGTGTAAACGTAGAGTGGTTGGTGATGACTACATCAATCGTTGTTTCTGTAATTTCTATCGGCGTTTCATATTATCGTCGAGATGGAAGAAAATCATGAATTAAGGGATTATTTCAACATGTAATTAAGTTGATTTTTTTGTATGATAAAGTTTTGGATTTTACAATTTTATTGTTACTTAGATTAATGTACATTATTTTGTGTGTGTGTGTTTTTTTTTTCTTGCGCACTTAATCATTGATCAATGGATTTGTAGTATTGTTTTATTCTATCGATTAATCAAATTTCATATCAATCTAAAGCACATGACTATAATTTTTTTCGCGAGTTAATTTTTTGAATGATCGTTCTGAGTTATAAAAATTACTCACTAAAGTTTTTCTTTTTTTGGTAGCAAAGACATCCAAACATATATATGGTTGATCTGAAATGAACTTTGAAATGAATGTTGATGGTGGATTAATTGCAAGAGAAAACATATGGTGGCATAGAAGTGGAAAATATATCAAAAAATGTAATGAAATAAAGCAATTTGTTTGGTTTTCTTACTACTAGAAATAAATGTTTTCCTATCGTGAATTAATGAGAAATTTATGTTATAAAACATGATTTTCTCAGTTATTTCTCACCGAAAAAATGTATAGTTTGAAACAAATTCTCACTAATATAGTAAAAACCTTCCTAAATTTCCATATGAAAACATTATACTATCATTTAACGTCTATAATAATTTATGATATTTTATTATGTGATATATTATTTTCACATAAAATTATCAATTTGCTTAAAGAGATCCTTAGACATTTATTTAAAAGGTTCATAAACAGCCAGATAAATAACTATTCCAAAATGGAACAACAAGGTAAAATTTCACTAACTAGAAACATCTGCAAACGGATCTCAACTTCTCTATGTGTGTATAAAACATATATTTGTTTCAATTTATGTGACGCAGTTTGATTCGTCATAAAGCTGAAGAAATGAAAACTTAAGTTATGCCAGGGTGAAATTATTTTTTCATGTGGAGTGCTACTTGACATTAATTTTAAATAAAAGAAGTGTAGACTGTACACACCATAAAGTGACGGAGTTAGAATTTTCAATAAGGGGGTCAAAGTCTGAAAATAGACACATGAAGTAGTCGAAGGGGGTTCGACATCTACTATATATATCTAAAAAAAATATTTTAACCATGTATAAATAATATAATTTTTTGTCGAAGAGCGTTCGAATGAACCCCTAACTATAAGGTGGCGCCACGACACCATTGATACTGATGGTGAAATTACAATTACATGTAACCAGTTTATGTAAGCTCAGATGCTCCTTGACAATACAATTAGATTTGGGGTTATTTAAATTAACTAGTAAAATTATCCGCGCCTTGCGGGAATTTAATATCATGAAATTTATAAAATAATACATAAAACTATCGGTCATTAAAACTAAAACACAAAATTATCTTACATACAAGATTACGTAGTAACAAACATTAATAATGTAATGGAAAATGATAATTATAACATCTTATCATTTATCCTTCAATCAATCATCTTTAACTTGATTTTATAATTTATCCTTGAACCCATGTCAAAAATTTATTAATTTTTGTCTTTTTTTCCTGGTTCACTTCGCACATCAAGGTGCGATAACATTTTAAGGTCTTTATGTCCTTACAATGGCATACCAAATTTGAATTTTGTCTTCGAGAGATGTTAGTATAGATCTTTAAGGAGTTTTTTTTATTGTACATTCAACAAATTCAGTAGAGAAAACTTGCATGAATACGCACTTAACGTGTGTCATTTAATCTGTACTAACAAATACTTATAACAATAACTTTGCTGAAACATAAAAACAAAGTTTAAAACATGTATTCAAAAACAACAATTAATAACATAAGCATAAATTAATGACTGTAAAAAACATATCAGGATCTGTAACAATAGAATGAAACAGAAAGGAAACAATCGAGCCCACCGAATGCACAATTAGTTTGTTTTAAAATGAGAGGAAATCCCTCTTTTTATAGACAACAAAGGGTAATGTGAATAAATGTTTATTGTGCCTTATCGGAAAGGTCACAACTCTTTAGAAAAGTTACAACCCTTCGGAAATGTCACAAACCTTTGGAAAGGTCACAACTTTTCATAAAAGTCGCAACTCTTCATAAAAGTCACAACTTTTTATAAAAATCACAACTTTTCAAAAAAGTCACAATTTTTCATAAAAATCACAACTTTTCATGAAAGGGAAAGACTAGTTTTGGAAATAAATAAATTAAAAGGGAATCCTGGACGAGAGGGAGTTGCTCGGATGGTAAGCACCCCTCACTTCCAACCCGAAGGTTGCGAGTTCGAGTCACCAAGGAAGCTCCTAGGGAGGGTAAAAAAAAAAGGAATCCTGATTTGTGGCGGCACCACATATGCGGGCCTAGAGTTCTCTTTTTTTTTATATATATATATGTTATATTATTTTCTATTTTTATGTTTTATAACAGTATTTCATATTTATGCTAAGGATTATTCTTGTTATTGTTTGTTTTCTCAAGTTATTAAAATGGGTACGCCTAGGGTAATTGTCTCTTCATGCCTCAGTCCAGGTCAATTATTTTGTGTTGTAACATTATGTATAGATAATGTCACGCTCCGAGGTTATCCCCAAGACGTAATACGGTACCTAGAATTACGAGTGACCCCCAGTTAATCCTGAATCTGACATATAAGCATACTGAGAATAACTAAGTAAAATATTTACAATGCGGAAGCTAAAATAGTGGATATCCGAAAGTTGGGAAAACCTCAACTAGTCTGAACATAAAATAAAATAAAAGTTTAATGCTGACCCAACACTTAACAACTCGACCTAAATCCACTACTATGTCTGAAAAGCCTCTAACTGAGTTGAGGTACTGGGACATGCCCCTAGCTAACTCTAACAAAACCGAAAACTGAAAATAAAGAATGAAATGTAAAACATGTATATTGTCCTCGAAGTATAAGGATTCACCACTGAAGCTGCTGAAGTCGGACTGAGGATCGAACTAAGCGTGATCTGGATGCTTAGTGCCTGAACCTACATCATGAAATGATGTAGCGCAAAATATGCATCAGTACTAGAAATGTACTGAGCATGCATGATATAAATATGCTAATAATTAATAAAGTATATAAGTTGAACAATGCATAACTGAGCAATGACATAATCTGAACAAGGATATAGATATTGAAGTATAACTGAAAAACTAAACTGAATGCAATGACCAAGTACTAATCATGAAGATAACATGTTGAACTGATTACTGAAGTAAATGCTGAAAATTTGGTCAATGCACTAAGAGTCTGACTGTAGGAGCTACTATTAACCGACTAATTAAACCATGTGAGCTAAACGTGGAGTCCGATGTATACGC